TTGGGAGTTATTAGAGACCGTTTGCAACAAGCATGTCAAACTCAAAGTCCAGCACAGGCCACATAAACAAGGTTTAAGTTTATGTGGGCCGAATAAAAAAAAACAACCTTAAATTTTCATAGAAACGTAGGTTTATTTTCAAAATTACAGTATTAAAAAAACCCCAGCACCCACCTCTAGCCAACAAGCAGACTCCCCTCACATTGCTGCTGGCAGTATGCGACTCCGGAGTCCCGCCTCTGGTATACCCCAAATGGCGCAGTCCTCACCCTGTGCCAAATCTGATCCTCCCGCTACTTCTTGAAACCCTGTGAAGGTGGAGCACGTTGATGTCACATCGGAATGTGACGTGACGTTGCGTGCCTCCATGCACCTCCAGGTACTCCACTGTCCAGTCGCAGCCAATGCAACATTGACCAACACACTCACTGACAGACACACACTGACAGACACACACACAGACAGATACACTCACTGACAGACACACACATTCTTGCGCACACATACTTTTGTTTATTGCTCCCTACCTTTTGGAGCCGATGTGTGGCATCTACCTGGGGTCCTTCTATCTGCTCCTCACTGCTCCCTCACGCGGTTTAGTGATGCCGAGTGCCGGAATATGATGTCAGAGCAGTGAGGAGCAGGAGCACTGAGCTCCCTCGCTGGCCCTCCTCCCCGGCTGGGTAAGTGTTAGCAGAGTAGGCACCTGCAACGTGGGGAAAGCAGGTACCTACTCTGCTTGGAACACTAGGCATGTACTCGTGGCTCACCTGGCCGCAAAGATGTCCCTTGTGGGCCGCATGCGGCCCGCAGGCCGTGAGTTTGACATACTTGGTTTACAATATTCAATGGGGAATTATGTAAGGTCATCTGTTAATAGTGGAATATAATAAACACAGTAGCTCTTAAAGGGACGTTAGGGTATAACAGCTAGTATTTGACCTGGGTGCTAGTTTAATGTGTGCCCCTGTCTTATAAGCGTACAGTTGATATAGTAACATAAAAGAAACAATGAATGTTGTTTCAGCAAAAAGACCTGACGATACACGTCTTCGCTGACATTCCTTAACCTTCAATACAGGTGAAATTGCTCCCAAGCAGTGCAGAGCCAAGGTTTTTGATGAGTGAGATTTCAACGGCGTTCAATTGACAAAGAGTCTGCTAAATAAGGCAATGCATTGTGTAGGTGTCTGATCACTTGTAACAGCAGGTTCCCAGGCTTTGGTGTGTAATCAATCTCTGTAGAGATCGTTCAGACTTATTTCGTACATGCTTTTTTTCTTCTCCACAAGGCTCTGCTTCAGGAAGAATACAAGTGATGTTAACAGGATTTGGCAGGAAATTTCAAAAGATTACATTGAATTTGATAGTGTAAAAAGCAAAGACAATTTAGTCAAGAGACCAAGTATGATACCTGAACTGTTTAACATATTAGTCAGGAAACTATAATCAATATGTAAAACTTTTTATTCAAAATTTGTTGCAATTCTCTTCTTCATTAAAAGGGTTACTCCAGCCTGATTTAACATAAGTATTTCTTGCGTATATTGTTCTAATATGCACTGTTTATCATCCTCTTCCCAATCAAATGCTTCTCGTAGTGCATGCGCCCAAGTCCGACAATGCCTCTCTAAGAGTGGCATGAATGAGACAATCAGGCAATTCATTGTTCTCAGCGATTTGGAATTTGTATTGCCTGGGTTGACAGGTTAATTTTGGCCACTAGTAGAGGAAGGAGGCACGAAGTTTGGGCTGCCAGAGGGTCAATAAGGTGGAGAAGGACAATGGAAGGCGACATAACATTTCAGCGGCTATCAGAAAGTATCACTTGGAGGGCTAGAGAAAGAAGGGAGGATGACAAATAAAGAGAAACTATACTGCCAGGAAATCAAAGTTGTTAAAAAGCCCTTCTGTTACTTACCTGAGTACAGCGCCGATGTCCCTCTGCGCTGGCTTGTGCTTTACCTCTGCTCCTCCCCCGCTGTCAGCTGATGGGGGGAGACCTAATGTGCATGCGCGTCAATGACCGCTCTCGCATTAGTACTTATCCCCAAAGGAAAGCATTGTACAATGCTCCTATAGTGTTTCGGGTGACTCTTGGATGTCCTCATGCATAGCGTGAGGACATCCAGCATCAGTTATGCAACCAAGTCACCTAACGACCCAGAAGTTCCTCTAGTGCTTGTCTGGTGGACAACCACGGGAGGTAGAGTTAACCCTCAAAGGTATTTGTATCAGTTTATTAAAAACTGCAATAATTATATTTTTAGAGTTAAGGGTGCCTATAGTGTCCCTTTAAGCCTTTTAATTGCCTTAGTGCTCTCTCTGGGGAGGAAAGAAAGATAAATCCAGGTCGTGCATGTACAACTTGGACAAAATGAACACAGGGAGCCTTGAGCTGAGTATTCTAGCTTTATGGCTGACCAATCATGGCAACTGTATTCTTACAGCTGCAGTTATAAAACAGTCACACTCACTATGAACGTACTGCGTCATTAACTTTGCAATCATGCAGCATTCTTATGGTGTTTGCAACGACAATTTCAGCCAACTTCTTAAAAAAAATATATATATATATATATATCGAATATCAGCAGGATTCACTAAATCCTAACTTTGGTTTTCACAGCATTCTGTTTGTCTTGGCTGTGAAGCCTACTAAACAATCATATTTGATTCAGCAGTTTGAAATATTGGCAACCTCAGGCAAGCAGCTTGGCAGATTTACCGATAGCTAAAACACAGAAGTTCCTATCCCTTTCATCAAGAATACAGATGAGGAGTTTTAAAGTTGCCCAGCCTGAGAGCTGAAATATGTATAATCGGATATATAAATGCCCCAAGGGTCAACATTTGCATCATGATGTACAAACAGAGCAATGATTATACCCTTACGTCTTCCTTCAATATCATGGCAGGCAATCTGCTCCGCTCCAGCTGTTAATCAATCAAGTGCAGCTATCATAATCACCCACAAGCCTATAACCCTCTTAGAACTGGAAAACAATAAGAATGGTACGTGTTTTATCCCTGTTCTGTATAGTTTTTATCATTCCACAACATTTATTTATTCTCTCAGTTTCCAGTATTTTTCATCTTCAATGAAATGAGCAGGTAACGACGATTCTTTAAGCATTTGATCAGAACAGTAGATCTTTTCACTATTAATACGAATCCATAGAAGATGATGATCTCAGAAGTTCCACACTACGTTTCACTGTAGAATTGATGATTATTACATAAAGCAGTTAATGTCACAACATAATGGTTTCTGCTAGAATTGGGAGCAAACGATGGATCCGAAGCTCTTCATGAGCAGGTCTGATTTACTGTGAGGCACAAAAAGAGCCACTGTCTTTTTTCAGCTGCGGATTAATACGATTCTAGGTTGTCTAACATGATTAAAGGGGAAATCCGGACCCCTAAAGCACTTTACCTTGCTGAAATGCTTTATGTGTGAAGGGTGTGTGATCTTTGTACATGTTTACAAAAAGTGCAGATTTCAATACTAATTGGCACTTTTATAAATGAACCTTGTTAGGCCCCCACAGCTGTCAATCAGACATGCAGTCCTGTTACTTCCTGGTTGCTCTGCTCAGTGGAGGCAGCAATTGTCCAGAGAACCTGTCTTGCAAAAACTTCTCATTGAGCATTAGAAAATCTGTGATTGAATGATTGGACAGGCACAGAAAGTCTGGATTGGGAAAGGAAGGGAGGACTCGCAAAGAATTGCAGATTTTGCAAGCTTTAGATCTACACTAAACGGTGATTTTACTGGTTTGTAGTGTCTGTCCATTGTACACTAACCAGGCGTACATTTTCATTCCACAGTAGCTAGTGGAGATTGGTAAATTTGAACCCTGATTATGTCCTTATTTTCCAATCATTTTTTGTTTTGTTTTTTTATCATAGGTCATGTAGTAAAAAGTGGAAATTATAGTACATTTAATAGTAATAATCAAGCCTAAAACCACTATACAAACATATCAGAATCAAGACACTCTGAGGGTCTTACTGTATACGCTGTGTATACAAATACTATTCACTTTGGGGGTAACAAAACAGAGGCCTATCCATTTCAGAAACCTGACATTGATTTACTTGGCCGTAGTTAGCTTAGGGGCAGAATAACAGCACCCACCTATATCATGGATGGAATATCATTTTCCAGATAAAGTAATGTCTGGTATTTGAATATTATGTCTTTTTCATCATGAATTCTGAGAAAATTGGATTATAATTTTATATTTTTTTCATACACTCCTAGATTTGTGGCAGATTTAGAGCTGAGGTAAGTTAAGAATGCCAGAACAGAGTTGACTTAACCCTTAACAACCAATAACGTCCTATGCTGCGATCACAAATTGTTGTCTGAAGATCTTGTGCCAGTTTGGAATTTCCTATAAAACCTGGCTGTTAAATGAGTGGGTGTTCTAGATTTGAATAGGATATTTAATGACCCGATTGCTATTATGGCTCAGACAATTGTTGGCCCTTAACCCCTTAAGGACACATGACATGTGTGACATGTCTTGATTCCCTTTTATTCTAGAGGTTTGGTCCTTAAGGGGTTAAAGGGACACTGTAGGAACCCAGACCCCTTCAGCACCGTGGGCGGATGAGCGATGGGGAAGGGGGGCACTGCAGGACCCTATAGTGCCAGGAGAACAGGTTTGTTTTCCTGGCACTATAGAATCCCTTTAAGGGGTTAATATACCTATAAGAATAACATGGAGATGATTTTATCATAGTGCTGTGAGTATTACAGATATACTTACATAAGAAAAAGTATCTGCAATGTCGATTGACCTTGAATGTGAAGATTTACAGGAGCTAAATTGACTTGCATGATGTTACTGTAATTCCAACTACCTGTGAGTGACGGTTTAGGTTATCATGAAGCTATATACACAAATCAAGTGTCAAAAACCACAGCGGACAAGGGTTTAACATAATATATAAGAAAAAAAAAACCTGACTTTTAGTAACAGAAGATACTCGTTGGCTGAGGCGTTAAGAAGTCTGGCTGAGAAGTTAAGACATCACTGTAACAAGAGGATTACAGTGCCTAGCCTTATGCATAGATCAAAGACTGCTTCAGGAGACACTACTAAGATGTGATATCAACATATAATTAGTTACCCTATAGAGCTGGGTTATTTTCACAATTTCCTCGAATAGTGATATAGTGCTGTAAATTACTCGGACTCCTTGTTTGACCCTTGTACTACAGGTCTAGAGAGAGTCTTTAACATAAGATTAACAGAAAGGAAACATATAGGTAAGCGAAAATAGTCTCCTTTCTTTGTGAGTATTCTACGTAAGATTGCACCACCAAGTGGGGGAAAACCAAATTCTCAACAAGAGTTATTTCCAATAAATTCCAGCCATTTAAATTTCTTTATTAAATACTATTTTGCAAGTTAAAATCTGTCGCTGAAAAGAATTATTAAAATATTCACGGATTGATGAGTTCAAAATGTGAGAAGAAATATCCTGATGTTTTCAAGATTTTTCCAAGATCACACACCAGTTTCCCTGGTCATAATAAGATTGCAAAATCGTAATATTCTCTAATTTGCGACATAATCCTTCCAGTTCACCGTCGTGGAATACATGATAGTAGCGGTGATAGACAGATCGAGGTCCTTGTTCTTCCTCATTAGACTGTTTTGATGTCACAGTGCTATTAGGTCGAGTTGAAGGTTTAAGGTGCCAAGGAACCAGTAAATCCCGAGACTCAAATGTCGTTCGGTTAGTGTGAACTGGCAACACGGTGTTGGTGTCCGGCTTTAGTCCTCCATCCTGGATATTAAGAGTTTTTTGTTCTTTATTATTTTTATTTTCCTTCAAGTACTTGGACTTCTTTTTGTTGTATTCTTGTTCCATTGCCCAGACATAAATAAGGGCCTTTCCTCCTGATCGAAGGAGACCTGTTAGCTCAATTAATGCACGCAACCTTCTTTCCTTTAAAGATTAAAAAAAAATAAAAAAAACATTTAGATTATATATATTTTTAAGTAAATAATCATTTGCACATGTTTTTATGCCACAGATTAATATTTAAAATTATGACTTAACTCAATCGTCAAAGTTGACCCTCTTACCGTGTAACACACCATAATCACTACAATAAACTGTGACAAAGTTTCTGGTTAATGCTATGGGATTAACTGATACCAATGCCATACATTTTCACTAGTAGATACAGAATAACCTAACAACTTAATGGATATTCAAGACTACATAGACACAGATTTATATTATATTAAAATAGTTCTGTAATGCATAGGAATGAGCACTAGTGGAGCAAAGCCTCTTAGAGGGTACCATGCTGCTGCATGAATTTGCAAGGGAATCAAATGATGGCCCTGACTGGCCCTGCTCCCCAGTGGCAGATGGTGATAGGTTGTTGCTGGCCCTGATTTGTTGGACTTTTAGCCAATGATATGTCATGTCTTGTTCAAAGCATTACATAAACAGCCTATTAGCAGAATATCCAACTACAAATAAAAAGAGGGAATTAAAACTGCAGGTTTTTTTCTTATCATTACCCCACAATATACAGTGAGGGACAAAAGTATTTGATCTCCTGCTGATTTTGAACGTTTGACCACTGACAAAGAAATGATCAGTCTATAATTTTAATGGTAGGTGTATTTTAACAGGGAGAGACAGAATAACAAAAAAAATCCAGAAAAACACATGCCATAAAAGTTATAAATTGGAAAGAAGTCCAAGGCTTTGCTGCAGATCACGATGGGAAAGAGTAAAAGGCTGTTTTTCTCATCTTGAAAAATTATGTGATATGTGATCACACAATTTCTTTCTTTGTAGTAAAACTGAAGAATTGTGAGTTTGTATTTGTGTTATTACATTTTCTATTAAAGGGACATGCATCACTTGACAATTATTTTTTAAAACCAGCAAGCAAACACTTTTGAACAAATAAACAAACCAAAATAAAGCAAGTATGTAATAAACTTTACAAACATAGAAGCGCTATCCTGAGACAATCTGATTAAAACAGCAGAGTTACACTATTTTACGGAAGCACCTCTCATTATGACAGTCACTAGGGGCAGGTTAACCCGGGAAAGTAAAAATGTCCGTTCCTGGCGAATGGCAATGTTTTCAGCGGCAGGGTTAAAAGGGGGGACGCAAGGCGCCCAGCTCCATTCATTGACATTAAGTGGTCTGGGTGTATATAGTTTTCTTTTAACAACGGTACTGCTTTAGAAAGGGCAGACCTTCTTTGCAACCAAAATCCCTCTCTCTCTTTTTTTCCCCTTAAATTAAAAATCTAATTATATCCTCTTTAAAAATAGCACCATTGGCATTTTTAGATTACATACACAGTAAAATAGCACGAGTGTGGTAATAAAACAAAGATGTTGCACTTACTTCTGTGGCAAAATGGTGGATTACTGCTATTGAAAGACATGCATCAAATGAGCCAGCCCGGAAAGGTACATCCAAAGCGTCACAGACAGAGGCTTCAAATTTCTTCTCGCCACAAATATTCACAAGGTTTTTACTACGATCACAGCCAATCTTTCAGGTGATAAAGAAACAAAACACAAACATTGAGCACAGTCATGTCCTCTGAAACGATTTTGCACAGGAATATAGCTTCTTAATGCAAGTCTCACCATTATTTGGGTCTCCTCAAACAGCACAGATAACAAATTGGTAAATTTGGCACCTTCTACTGAATGTATAATATTGTGTCGGCCTAAGTATGTGATATCCCTGTGTATGTTGCTGGTGCTATATAAATAAATCTCACTGTATAACAATATTGGGACATAGCATTCTACAACATTTGAAATGACATTTTTTTCCCCAAAGTTGGTGACTTTTGTGTTTATCATAAAGATAGATTGGATATTTCCAGCTTCCACCATTACATCTTGCCATTTATACTCTACAAGTTGATGAAATAATAGAATCAGCCATACACAAATATATTTTTCTTTATTTGCAAATAAGCACAACAGACATATACACAAATATTTTTAATTACGAAATGTGTATGGTGGACTTAAGCAAACCAAATGTCCCCACCTCTAACTTGGTTTAATGGCATCAGGGAGTACAAGGGCTGGGACAGACTGTGGCAATTTAGAGTAGATGTTAAAATAAAAAGGAGTGTAAGTGCCCAAAAGTACTGGTGCCTATTAACAAATGTATATACAACGAGAAAGGGTAGCAAGAAGAGGAGTTTGCGGAGAAACCTGTCTGCATTATAGAGATCTTGGTGAATAGTGGTCCATGTCCATCAACTGTTTGAGTTTCCCTCTGACCCCGATCGTGTATAATGTGATATATATAGTCTAATTACAGTTTTCACCAATGACATACACAGTATACCACCAATATAAGAGGACATATAATATTGGCGAGCCAGGACTGGGAAGCATTCCAGTTATATTTACAAGAAAATGACATTAAATAAACCAAAGCAATGTAGATCATTTAAAAAAACACTCATGTAGAAAATGTTCTTATTATGGGAGCCGAGTAGCGAGAGAATAATGACCTTGAGGGTGATCTTAACACACCAAGAAATGTTAATGAATTGTAAGCTAATTGAAAGGAACAAAGCATATTAGCTTGTAATTTGCATCTAAATTGCATGACATACATTTTGGCTCAGGCTGGCTTTTCAGTTTTTTTGCCTTTATCCAAATAAGAAAGATAATGATAAAGCACAGAGGGGGTCAGTTATGGGCTTCAATTACAGATCACAGGAGCTGTTAATTATGGGTTAGTGGCTCCCAATTCTAAGTCGCTCATCGAACGGAACACAGCTCTTTTTATTGTGGCTTATTTTTTTCCCATGTTTAATATAAAATGTGAAAACCGCCCATAAAGTGCATACGTGCGTTAAGTCACATGTCGATCTGGATTATTGTTTTGCCTCTGTTTCTATTGTCCAGTTTTACAAGGTCACAGTAGGGAAAGACATGTAGGATAGGGTACAGTGGGTGCTTACAAGAGAGAGAGAGAAAGCGTGTGTGTGTTTTCCACATTTGTCATCTATGAATATCTAAATCCTTATTCTGACAGTCACTGCATAAACTCCCCATACCCTTCAAAATCTATTATTTTCCCTTACCTACATATTCGTGCTGATTCCTGGCTCCTGTACCCAACACCAACCAAATGCTCCCCCCAGCAATCTGTGCTGCCTTCTTTTATTTCAATTAAGAAATATGGGTTATATTAATCATATTGGTATATTTTCCATGTATTGTGTATCATGAATAGATTTGAGGAATGTGTTTGCACTAACAATTTATACAATACAATTTATCCCTGACAGCCACTAGAGGCGCTTCCGCGATTTACACTAATCGTACTTATTTGACGCTGGACGTCCTCATGGACCTCTAGCGTCAAAAAAGATCTCAAGAGGAAAGCATTAAGTAATGCTTTCCTATGGGCAGGTTAGAATGTGTGAGCGCCTCTGGCCGTGCATGCGCATTCGTCTCCACTCGGGAGCTGACATTGGCGGGGGAGGAGAGGTCACCAGTGCCGAGGGAGCTTGGGGCTGGATTAAGGTAAGTGGTTGAAGGGGTTTTAACCCCTTCAGCACCAAGGTACATAGGCACTCCAAGAGCCTATAGTGTCAGGAAAACGGTTTGTTTTCCTTGGCACTATAGGATTCCTTCAAGCTTAGTGTGGTATCATACAATTAGTGGATTTTTCCATCCGTCCATGGGTTGTCTGCCTTACACCTACTTAGATCTCTGACACTACTGGAACTTCCTACTGACCTTTGCACCTCTAGAAACCCACCATTATCCCCTCCATTAACACAAGATTTGTAGCTACAAGTTATGTAAGTATTATACTGCTTATGTACTATATCACGGGTCAATGGCTCATTTGGCTTCATGTGACCACTATGGGGTATACTTTGGCCTAGCAGGCAACATTACACAGTGGATGTTGCCCCAGGTTCACAACCAAGGAAGTAAATTCTTCTCTCCCTTATACCTAGTGAGCTGTCGCGTGGACATTTCATGGGGCACTGTAGTGACCACAGAGACTGTGATTTACTAATACATTAACAGGACTGGACATTTGAGTTACATTTTTCTTTACTTCGTTTAACACGCTGTTTCTAATGGGAAAAGTGAATGTTTGATATGCCAGTCGCATTATCACCATTGTTATTATAATTGTCTTGTTTTCTACGATTGATGCTTCCATGTACTTTGCATTCACAATAAAACAATAGTATTTGAAAAATAAATAAACATGCATACTGACCATGTACAAATTCTTATTGATGCCAAGGTACTTTCCATTACCACAGCCTATGTCTGCCACAATAGCTCCATCAGGTAACGTCACGAGAAAGTCCACCACTTTGGGCCAAGGGGTGTGTCTTGTGCTGCTAAAATGACCAGCAATATCTTCGTAGACCTTGTGTACATATTCTTTTTCCAAGGCTTCCACTCCCAAGACACTGACTTGAGGGGCCGCTTCTTTCTCCTGTGATTGTTGACTATCACACACTGATGGAAAGGCTGCATGTCCAAAACATATATTCACTTATCAACTTGCCAGATCAATAATTTCATGTTAAATTCACCAGTTGTCACTGATCCAACAGAATTACTGTCATAAATAGAACTATCTCAAAACAAATTAGCTATATTTGTTCATCTTGTTACCATGTTCTGCCATCAACTAAATCGGCTCCCTATACCCTCCAGAACCCAATTAAATATCCCGGTTCCAATCTGCAAATTGTGATTTAACTATAGCTGCCCAAAAAATATTCAGATAATGAAAATATAATGAAAACATACTCTAACACTTGTCATGAAAACATTAATGTAAATGTACTGGATATTTCACACCACTATTCTGAATTCGTAATGATCCAATTTTTACCTTCCTACATAAAATTGTCCTTGTTCTTCCTACTCAAAACAACTTGTGTCAACTTGGGACAAAGAGTCCATATTGTCTTATCTCCAGAAGCAGTTTTAAGATTTGCTCAGTCTACCGCAAATAAGTTGACAAATCTTTGTTGCTTAATGCTCCAGCTATGCCAAGAAATACTAAGTCAAATAATGAATACTTTTATTTTCCAGATTCCAAAATAATCTCATCTTGAGTGTAGAAACCTTAAATAGAGTGGACACTGTAGAATGAATCCCTTATGTAACTTAAATATGCATGTACTTTGTCAAACTATAAGGCTGCTAAACTTACCGCAATCACATGCGTTTCGCCTCACTTTCCTAAATGTGAAGGAAGTCCTTGTTCCTCTCTTTTTTAGGGTTAACTCTTCAATGTTTCCACTGATTGTTTTGACTTTCTGCCCCTCCGAATCCTGAACTACGTCAAACTTTCTTGGAGTGATGCTGGTATAAAATAATTGCAAGGCGTGAACTGAGGACAACGCTGAAATACTGTCAGCCATAAATCAGACAGCGTACAAGTAAAAGGCTTCAGAAATGTATAGTTGCTGAACAGTCAGTCAAAGACATGCCATTATCTAAAGGAAAATCAACTTTTGTACTGGAAATGCAAATTAAGCACAAATATTCACAGAAAACCAATGAATTCACATTTTTTGGCAATCTCATCGAAAAGAGTAACCTATACTTTAAGACTCAATATGTCCCAGACAATATAATGATTTTTCCACAGTTGTTGGCACTCAATCACTTCAAGAAAATTATGAGTATGCTTACAGATAATGAAAACCTCCATGCACTCTGTTTAACTGTGCAGAAAGAAGCTGGATGTGCATGAATAAGATGTTAACTTTTATAGTTCCCCATATAATATTTCCCTTCCTCTCTCCATGCTGCCTAAGTAACATTTGTGTCACCCCCACTTTGTGCCCAAATGTCTGCAACCACGTTGTTAAAGGGTTACTCCAACCACAATGACTACTTCAGTGATTTGAAGTGGTCATGGTGGTAGGAGTCAGTATCTGCAGTTTGAAACCTTACATGTACCGGAATTTTGGCAATTGCGTGCCTTTGTCTAGTTGCACATATGACTTTGGCATCTGGAATGCAAAAAATATGTCCTTCGTCAAAGCACGCAGCACGCTGACATCGAATATACTGAGCTTTCCCTTGCAGACAGTGCCAGGAAGGGGAAGCATTTTTCTCCCCTTCTCCCCAGATTGCGCACATGCACGCTGCGCTGGCAAAACAGTCCATTAACAGGCTCCTCTATGAGAATCATGTGATTGGACCGGTCCAGGTTTCCTATGACAGAAGAAGGCATGGAAGTCTTTGCTGCTGGATTCCAGGTAAGTAAAACAACACAGAGGACATTCAAATGATCTGTCAGGCAGAAAGCAGCGCATAAAAAATTCTTTCCGGATCATGTGCCTATAAAAAGTTACAGAACACACAAAAAAAATGTAAAGCTCATTTTATGAGATTACGTAACCTTACAATAAGATACCTCCAAGATACATACCCGTGTGTCCACAGATACCTAGATTCCCCACTCATGATCAGCAAGCTTCTCTGTGGGAGCATCACCTGAACATTACTGTCATTAGGGTGCTTAAACTCCATCACAATCTGCAAATAAATATCTTGTTAAAGTCAGAATAGCAGAGATAGAATATGTTAATGATCAGAATTGTGTGTTGGTAAATTATCACATTACGATAATTTACAGTGTTATTGCTTCCAAACGAATGATAAAACCATCCGTATTTATACCTTTTGCACATCATGTCACTACTGATTAAAGCGGCTTTGTTACTGCCCCAAAAAATTCCAACCAGCCAAAAGATATCATTAGACTAAGTATATGCTGCTACCCTTTGTCAAGCCCTCAGTTATCTCTAGTGACGGTGGAGGAGAAAAAAGCTCTTGCTATGTAGGATCCGGCAACCTTGCATAGACATCTATGCACATGTCCGATCCTAGCAGAAGAAGTGCCAAAAGCTGAAGCCAACCTCACAGAAGAAAATGGTGGAACCCAAGAGAGACAGGTTTAGGCAAGTGAAACCTACCTTTCCCTGCACCCTGTGGTCACCTCACTGCAAGCAGAGCAGTCACCATGAGGGCTGTTTGCATAATAAGACCCCAGAAATTGACAGAGCCACTTTAAAGTCTCATCAACCTATAAAATGGGACTGCAACCATCATAAAATAGCTGTTCAAGTTGTGCAAAGACAGTCTTACAAAAAAAAAACATTGCTGCACAGGTCATATACATCAACTGCCTCTTCAAGTAAGCACATATCTATTCCTATTCGTAGTCTTGAATTTTTTGTCATTTGGCAGAAAGATGTCCTTACACATCCTATTCATCTTACAGATATTGGCATCCACACATGGAGTAATTATTTTTAAAAGGTAACAATAAATGTTTGTCCTTGGGCAAAAGATCTGCAGCCCATGATGTAACCATAAGCTATAAGAGGCGGTGTACTGCTAAAGCTAATGACTGCCAAAAGGACAGAATCCAAAAATCCTCAATATAATTATTTGCAAATTCGATCTACTGACTGCATCAGGACAAGAAGCCTGAATCTCCATAGCAAGGGTAAGATGAAACAGAAATGGCTGCAGACACACCCATCACACAAACAGCAGGTCTCAATTTGTTTTAAACTAAAGGCTGAAGTATCCTGCTAAGTGGAAAAATTCAAATTTTGGCTAGAAAGTCCAACTTTAAGATCTATAAGTGTCATGCTGGTGCCTGTAATGTCTCTGTAATATTTAAAGGACCACTATAGGCACCCAGACCACTTCAGCTCCACATTTACGAACATTAAAGGCACCAACTCAACATTTTTGTATTTTAAAGCTTTTAGTTATATCTTAAGCTGTTTTTTGGCATGTCCAATTTAGTACAGGACTTAAAAAACAAACCAATCTCCTCTGCTCTGCCTCCCCATTTTAAAATACTTTCTTAAAGGGATACTGCAAGCACCATGATCACTTTACTGATTTGAAGTGGTCATGATGCTTGGAGTCTGTATGTTTGTGTGAAACTCCACCTCCAGCAGTGTTGTTTGTATAGTATTTATATCTATTGTGTTGTGATATATTATATATTTGGCAGAAACGTCTTTGTTTTCTTGTTGTTACCCAAGCCAGAATGAGAAAGTTGGGCTGGCTATTGTCAGTTTTGAGCATGCATAACATGCTGGAGCCAGACTACCAATAGTGGCATGGCCCCCAGCCTTTCAACCATCCTAATTTCATCAGGACAGTCCTGATTTTCAGGTGCTGTCCAGCTGTCACCATTTTGTTCCCTGGTGTTCCGTTTTTGGGGACACCTGGGAACTGTCTCTAAGTACATTAGACGCGCTTGTGCTATGCTCAGGGGATTAGAACTCTGCAGAAAGCACTAAAACAATATTCCCTGTATGGTTCGCTATTGATGGGCCGATTTACTTGATTAGTAGGCCGCTTGATGTGAATTCACACCAGGCTGAATTGTCAGTTCTATGGGCCGTTCTGCCCCCTTTGGGTGCAGCAAGTGACGCAAATCCCACCGGAGTCTTGTGAAGCGTTATTTATCAAAAAAAAATCTTGTGGAGTATTCCTTAATACCAGATTATTTAATAACAGCTTTATTAGCCTAAATACTGTGGCAGATTTAAACAGTTAAAAGAGATGCACTAAAACAGTGAAAATGTTACAGCACAAGAAAGAGAGAAGTTAATTATCTATTAGGTCTGTGGATGTGTTACCTTGACAAGTGCAACATATTTACATCTAAACAGGCCTCTTCAGGCTCACAAGGATATCCAGAAATAGCAGCTTAGACGTGAATACTGGCCTGGTGTAGGAAGTGAATGGTTTTCTCTGGATAGCACTGCCAGCTGTCTCATGCAGAAGGACTGAGAGCTATTTTCATCTCCTCCAGTTAAACGTTTGTTTTCTGTGTTATGGATCCCAAATGCATACAATGCTGTTAGATTTACTGCACCAGGCACTGATGTCAAGGCTGGACTGAAATAGATTATTTATAGAATTCTCGATTTTTGGAAAATAAAGATAAAGGCTAAAGAATGCCACAGAGTTTATTTTTTTCCTTTTTGTTAATTTTTGACAGGCAAAGATTTATTCCCCCACCCAATATTTCCTTTTTTATTTCTTGTTACTAAAATTAGGAAAAATGTCTCCTAGCGATTGTATATTGCCTAAAATACGTGCGATAGTGAGGTTCCTAGCTCTTGTTAGATCTGGGTATGGCAGCTGGCACTTCCCAAATCAGAGTCACTTTTATCTGGTCATAACTAGGTGTAGGTCAAGAAAGGGTACAGGGAAGCAGCTCGTTCTGGAGTCAGTATAGAAAATATGAAGACAGAAAACAGAATATAGTGTAATATATTTTATAGGTGGTGAGGTAAAATAAGAGAAATGCCACTTACAATTTTCTGGAGCTTATGTTCTGCTCCAAATATATGCACCTGGGCGGTATGATCCCCACCTGTGGATATACAGTGTAGTACGAGGAGGCCTCATTTCCATATGTTCACAATGTAAAAAGACTTAATTGGAAAAATTTTTTGTGATCCTTCAAAGAATCACAGAGCTTGAGACTAAGCATAAATAAATGTCATCTGACAAGCATTATAGGGAATTACTCCTGGCATTTAAAGAACTTTCTACCAGATTGACACAAAGACACTTCTTATCACTCCAAAAATCACAACACTTATTATGTGAACATTCAAACAAATGCATTACACCTTGCCAGAATGTTGAGGAAACAACAAAGGTACCACATACACTGAATAAAACAAGGTGTGAGCCGTACCATACCCTTATCTTGAGACATTGCGGTGGCATTCCACCATTATTACACAGACCTACATCTGATTCCTGAATGGCTGCAATTGTTGCGACGCGTGAGATTATCAAGAACTCTCTCTCGAACTATGTTCACAACAGTCTGGATCTTTGGTGGAGACTGATATCACTATTGAAGAAGTGCAGGAAACAATTAAGTCCTACAAGATGGGGAAGGCTCCAGGATCAGACATTTTCCTTAAAATACTACAAAATGTTTGGGGAGATCTTACAACCATGACTTCTTTCTAGTGGAGTGTGTTTGGAAGGGACTCCCTGGTGGCATATACCACGGTAATACCCAAAGAAGGCAAAGACTCTGAGGTGTGTGCCAGTTACAGACCCATTTCACTACTGAATTGTGATTCTAGATTCACTCTTGCACGAAGATGTACCATCTCTATTTTTCCCAGACCAAAGTGGCAGAGAAGCCAAATACAATACAATATGACTTTTTAATAGTTCAAGAATTGAATCGTCCACTTGTCCTCCTCTCTACAGATGCGTAGAAATCATTTGACAGGGTGGACTGGGCGAAAACATCTGCAATTTGAGACAGACGGTGAGAAACATACTGGGGTTGACCATAAATTATCCGCATATGACTTATTCTTCTATGTTGAGCAACCAATAACAAATCTAGCAAACATCTGGAAGGAGTTTCACATTTATGGTGATTTAAGCTACTTTAAACTTAATGTAGTTAAGCATGAGGTACTGAACCTCTCAGTCCTAACAGCAGAAGCTGAATACCTATGCTCAATAATTTCATTACAATGGTATCAGGACATTTTCAAATACCTAGGGGTACAAGTCCCTAAAGATCTGAAGAACCTTCACAGGCTTGATTTTTTACTGAAGTTAACTAGATTCCAGGAGGAGATGAGTGCCTGGTCAGTTCCACATTTTACTTGATTCAGACACATAATCTACATTAAGACAAATATGTTGCCTAGAATGCTACATCTATACCAGACCATTCCAATCTCCATACCCCAGGCATTCTTCTCTTCCCTCAAATCGGCTTTAATCCTCTATGTGTGTAAGGGGAAGAGGCCAAGGCTCAAGTTTTACCAAATTATTAGTTCAAAACAATCTGGCTAACTATCCTTCAAAAAATATTATCAGGCAGCTCACTTTACCCGTGTTGTGAAGTGGCATCATATCAAGACTCAATGTGTCTGGCTGACACTGGAGCGAGAAACGGCAAGCCGGGCTGAAACCCAAGGCAGTGAGGTTGGCGGATATATTGGCTGTGAAGTTAATCAAAGCACAACCATTAACAGGAGCCACATTACAAACCAGGTACCAGTTTCATTTATCCCTCTCATCTAATTTCGGACCAATGCATCAAATTACAGGAATTCCGTAATTACAAGTGAATACGGATCAACGGGTCTTTAAGTTCTCTGGGAAAGGCTTGTATATCTTTATCCAGACACTTAGTTCGGATGGTGGTTTAGTGCCTTTACCAGAGCCGACTCAAGAGAGACAGCCCACGCCTCTGGAGATTTGTCAATATCACCAGCTTACATATTTGTTCTTCCATAATGCCTCTGCATATGCAATTCCTTCCATTTGGAGATGCAGCGATACATTGGTTCTGTACAATAGAAAAGCTTCTCACTCTGTACCAAATCATCCTTGATGGAACTCAGTTTAGGCTTAAGAACTATAAGGAAGATGCTTTTGCAAGACTGGACAAAAATGCTGATATGGACACATCACAGTTCTCAATGCTCGAAGACTCAAGAAATGAATTATAAAATAATTATGAATTGGTATAACACTGTGCAAAAATTGTATAGATTCTTTAATGGGGTGATGGATCAATACTGGAGTTGAAGGGGCTGTCCAGAACCTTGCTGCACATATTCTGGGAATGTTCAGTTCTGTCTCCTTTCTATAAGAAAATGTATGATGTTTTGACAAGAGCTGCTGATGAGGAAGTGAAATTTCACCCTGCAGATATGTTCCTAAGCCATACTAAATTATCAATTTCTAAGTATAAGAAAACATTATCCAAACATCTTCTATAGGCTATATTGCTGATCCCGCCCTCTGGCTGCACCAAAGCCCAACGTCTCAAAGTTGGCTTGGTCGAGTGTAAAAGATACACCAGATTAAAGAGTGTTTCTAGTCTGTGATTCAGAACCAAGTGAAATCTATAACATCATTCCTTTATCCTGTAGCAAACACAATGTGTGTTCACCAAGAATATTGGCAGCAATACTCACCTGCTGTCCCCTGTCACTCAATTTTTGGCATAGAGATCTATAATGACTTTGGCTAAAAGATGATTTACAGGTGGAGAAGAAACCAAAATTTTAAATCGGGTAAAAGAAAAATATATCCATGTTCTAGCAATTCTGCTAGCATGATGTACATATTAAACATCATGGTACTTAAAGGAACACTATAGGGTCAAGAACACAAGCATGTATTCCTATAGTGTTCAAATCACCATCTAACCCCCCATGGCTAACTAAATATAGTAAAATCTTACTTGTATTCAAGTTTGCAGCTGTTGGCTCTGCCCCTGATCTGCCTGCTGACATCATCAGAAGTGGTGGTCAGAGCCAATCACAATGCTTTCCCAAAGAATCGGCTGAGATGGTCAAGGAGGCAGATTAGGGGCAGAGCCAGCACAAGCCAGACACAGTTCTGGCCACTCTATGTGGAAAGTTCAGTGTCTGCATGCAAAGGATGGAGACCCTGAATGTCAGTTACACTGTGCAGCACTGCACCAGGAAGCTCCACTAGTAGCCATCTAAGGAGGGCCCCGTGGAGGTATCCCTAGGTGTAATGTAAACACTGCATTTTCTCTGTAAGATTCTACTCTTCAACCACAGCATATCGTAGTTGTTCTGTTCTGGTGACTATAGTGTCCCTTTAATTTACATGTACCACGGCAGGTACACATTGAGATTCAGACGGGCAAGTCATAATGATTTAACAAATGTCCAGTGTTTAAACCATCCTCCTTTTTTTGCAGCTTACTTGGTGTAATTCGACTGTAGGCTGACCTTAGCCGACTAACATTATAAAGGTAAGGAGAAAAATTATCAGGATACTAAATAATAATAATAGAATTGATACAATATAATAGCATAAACACAGTGTTAAAATATATATATATTTTTAAGGGTCAATAATTCTCTGATGATTAATGTAAACTAGAAAAGCTACAATTTCTGGGGAAATTGTGTGAAGTGTTCTTGCCTCCACCAGTAATCTACAACTGGAGTGGGCGGAGTAACTGGGTGGAATGGCTTGAGTAACTGTTGTGTGGTTGGAGTGGCTGGAGTAACTGTGGAAAGGTTGGAGTGTGATTCACTCACTCTACAGCAAGGGCAGAGAAGAGCTTTCAAATCTTTCAAATCCCTCGAACATTCCACAAACTGCCAACAGGAAATAATAGATTTCAAATAGGGCAGAGAAGAGCGGTTAAAAACAAACTGCTCCAAATTGCTCACTTCACCGGCGGTTGCCGTCTTCAAACGGTCGTATTTTATAAATCCTCCAGCGAAGAGCTTTATATTGTGAGAATCACAAGACCCAGACCTACATTTTGATGCATAGTATGTCTCTGAAATATTAAAAACGAAGGCACAGTCGCAGTTTAGAAATTGCCCTTCAAATTTGAGGTGGCTAGAGTGGAGTTTCAATGAATGTCAATGGACGGCGTGAGTTGCAAACAAACGGTCATATTGTGAAAACTATCAGGACTATGGCTTAGCCATGGACATGTTTAGTGGCAGCAGGGATAGCTGAACGTTTTGACATAAGATTTGTGTAGGTGGGCTTGATGTTTCAGCTTTTGTCAGCTCCCACTCTAGTTTTCAACATTTTGCCATTCATTCCTACGGGAACCAATTTCGCCACAAAAACGACTATATTTCATGAACCATTCGGCGAAACATTCCACAAAGTAATAGCACACCAATCGGGAACAAATTTCGGTATATTACTGTCTATGTAGTGTACAAATTGTGGGAGGGGTTTGGGGTGGTAAACTTGGCTATAAGAATAATAATATATATGTGAGATAATATTAAGTGGTCTTGCTATGCAAGAACACTTAATAAACAATTGCAATTATAGGGCCATATTCACCAAAGCAAAGCAGGTGCAATTATGAGGTCAATAAATGCTGATAGGCACTTACCAGGTTTCCAATATCAGTTTTGCTTTGATACATCCGGCAAATTGTATTTTCTTCAGATAAACATTAATTATTCTAATCATCGTGGAAAAATTATACTTATGTGCCGTGCTTTTTTATGGTATAGTCTACCCAAATATTTAAATGAGTTGGCAGTCAGTATTAATTCTAATTTGAACGTTGGAAGTAAACAGTGCAGTTACTGGGGCATAAAAACTGATCTTAACTTCAAGCCGAATTTTAATGAAAAAAAAAGTATGGTGCGGAGAAAATCTTATTACTGATTAAATTCTTATTATGTTCTCCAAAAAACAGTAGCAGCAAAAAAATAAATAAATATTAAAACAACAAATTGCTTAGCTTAAATACAAGCCAAATTAATTTGGTAAATTATTCATAGCGTTCTCTCAAGTGACTTATGAATCCATTTATTTCCTGGTTCATTTTTTTCCCCTCTTTCTTTCTTTTAATTAAACACTGAGTTACCCGTAACACAAGCTACGTTATGAAAGGATTTGTTGAAATGTGCTAGATTCATTACATTGTAATAATTTGCTTGTGTATGAAAAAGCTCAAAATACATCAGGTACTTGGTCACCATGGCAACTAGAAAATGTAATGCCCAGAGTATCCTATAGTGCATTATCTCACCCCTTCCGTGCTGTGAAATGCTCTCCCAACCATTGCCTTGCCCGTTCTTTCCCTTCTATAATACGTCTTCTCAAACATTGCCTTACCATACCATCCTGTGATACGTCTTTCAATCACTGTCCTGCCCATCCACTCCTGTGATATGTCTTCTTATTCATTGCCCTGCCTGTTCTCTCCTGTGATATGTCTTAACAATCACTGCCCTCTTGGTTCTCTCTTGTGAAATACTTCTCAATCATTGCCCAACCGTACCCATCTGTGAAACACTTTCCCAACCACTGCCTTGCCCATTCCCTCCTTTAATACTCATTCTCAATCATCACCTCTCCATTCCATCCTGTGATACATGTTTGCAATCATTGCCCTCTCCATTCCATCATGTGAGACATCTTCTCAATCATAGCCCTTCCCATTCCTTCCAGTGATGGTTCTTCTTAATCACTGACCTTCCTATTCCTTCCAGTGCTGGTTCTTCTTAATCACGGACCTTCCATACAGTGATAGGTCTCACCCATTCCCTTCCATGATACATATATATTAGAACATATACTGTGTATGTTTAAAAGGAGCATTACTGCAGGTAAGGAAGAAGCTAATGCTTAGGAACACTTCTCAATTATTGGCCTCTTCATTCCCTCCCGTGAAATGTCTTCTCAATTATTGCCCTTCCCATTCCCTCCTGTGATACGTCTCAGTCACTGCTCTTCCTATTCCCTTCTGTGAAAAGTCTTCTCAATCACTGCCTTGCACATTCCCTCCCGTAACACGTCTTGTCAATCACTGCCCTGCTTGTTCCCTCCTGTGATATACCTTTTCAATCACTGCCATTACCTTTTGTGAGCAGTCTTCCCAACCATTCCCCTCCAGGCTTCCCACATCCCAACTCTACTATAACTCCCAACCATTCCCAGCTCTTTAAATGCTGTGGGGCAATACTTCCAACCATTACTCTTACCTGTTGTGATACTATGATACAGTCTAAATCCATAGTCTGCTTCATCCGTGCTGGAGTGTTTCATTAATAAATAATAAAATATAAAGCACTTCACTGCTCTATGGGTGTGGAGTGGTCTTTTAACTGCATCATAATTTTCAAATTTTTTGTGAAAGAACTTTTTGCAATAGTTTCATTTTCATCACAAGGACAGGGTTTCATTAGTATCTACATTTCAGCCACTAATATTTAAAGAGAACTTTATAGTGCCAGCATGACTCTTGAACCATTCCCAAGTTGTGTGTCAAACAGTATCCCTTTAAACATTTTTACTGAATCGAATAGGTTTCTCTCACCTCTGATCCCAAACTGATTGAGATTATTTCATCTTCAAAAGCAGAATGTGTATCAATATGTGGAGGGATTCCTATGAAATGAAAAAGAAAAAAAAAAAATGTCAAAAGCAAATTTAGGAAAAATATGGCCAGAATTGGGAGACTGAAGGGGAACCACCTGTTCTCTGAAAATTACACCACTGAATAAAATATAGCTATAGCTAGTGTTAACCCTTTTTTATATGATACTGTGTCTCCTTTAAAATTATATTTAACAAATTACATTACAATCCACTTAAATCCAGGCAGAACCTCCTCTTCCCTGTATGCTGTTTGATGACTGCCAAGTGCAAATGAAAAGCTTATAACCATGACTGACAAGGAAACAAGATGGGGAAGCCAGTTGTTAGATTAAAAAAAAAGTGCAGATTTCAACGTTTAATTTTAACTTTCCCACTTCACAAAAAATATTTCTTAAATATAGGAATAAGTAAACATAATATAAAAAATCATTGACAGTAACAGCTCCTCATGTTATTTATACAACCTATTATAAACCTTTTTCTATTTCTACTTGCATTTGAATTTAATTTTTTTATTATTATTACTAAAAGTAAATGAACTATATAGGCATTGCCAGTATTCTGCCCTATATTGGGACTGAAGTAGCTAGTCGGTTAAATAGTACCAGCAGTATCCAGGGCATGTAGCTTTATTACAATCAAAAGGATTCCAAAAGTGTTCTAAATTAAGAACTCCCTTGTCTGGTCAATGGTAAAAGCTACACAACTATTAGTATAAAAGTATGAGCAGAGTATCAGAAAGGAAATGTAACCTACGTATCGATAAGATATAAACTAGTAACTACAGGCAGCTAAAGGGGTTGAACTAGATACAGTGTCTTGAATAAAGGCCACTTAAAACACTGATTTATAGCACATTGTTATACCTGTGTAGCTAACTAAAGGTAAAGGCACTCAAAATTGATGTATTGAGAGGTGCTAGAGACACTCATGCTTATATTGCTTGGAGGGGAAAGACGTAATCTTGCTAAACATCTGTAAATGGAGAATCACTAACTCTACACTGGAGCGATTAATAGCTATTCCATTTTTTATTTTTCTTGTACGTCCCTGCTGGAAAGGAAACACCTAAATTTGGGGGTCAGCATTCAAATCTCAGAAATAACCCTCCCAGCTACTTACTCTATTCAACCAACATGAGTATGTATTAAAAAAAAAAAAAAAAAATCTGTGGTGAGAAAAAACAAAAACAGAAAACGAATAAAACTCCCAACTGATTCAATCAAATTTATGGTTTACTGTTGCAAATCATCTACATTCTTCAAGTCAGATCTTGGAGAAAAACGCAGTCTTAGGCACTGCAGTTCAGAGAAAATACGATTTCGTTATTCACGCACAACAAGGAAACGAGCGCAGACAGGCATCATGTTTCAGACGTCATCCTGCATATTTGTTGGTAGCCTTACCATTGGAGCAGTATATTAATCACAGCTTTTAAACCAAAGCAGGGTGGTTATCCTAAATATATATTATAAAAAAAAAAAAAAAAAAACAGAAACCAACCATGGACTGTAACATTTTAGTCTTTGGAGCTTGGTGCTGTGAGCATATAGCCAAGTTTTACATAGTTACATAGGCTGAAAACCTGTTTGAAGTGCATTCCAATTTTGCAACAAAATAGGAAAAAATTCCTTCTCGACCACAGAATGTGGCGAAGGGCAAAACATGGTCAAAATTCCCAATGGTTGATCCAAAGACATAGGTTACTGTTGCATAACATCTACATATCGCAAGTAGGACCTTCAAATATATGTATATAGACACATGCAGGACCCTGATCATGGCATACTGTATTTAGGGGCCTGGTCAAGCACTGGAAAATGCAGTGTATTCTTTAACGCTATGTGGTTCTGTTGGGAACATAAAAAAATATTACCCCAAACAGGACTGTACTTAACAGTGCACCAGTTATAGCAGTGGACCCCTGAACAGAGGCAGGTCCTTCTGAAATCAATGCAGGGAGAATGTGATATCAATTCACTTCCTCCCAGGCACACAGAGCCAAGCAAAGGAGAGGGACTGACAGCAGCCAATTCCCACGGGACTCCAGAGAAGGTTCCCTCCGGCACTCAAAAGATATGGAAACTGCATGTGTCTTTATCAGGGTTAGTCACTGAAGTAACAATCGCTGGGAACTCAAACTGAATTTCAAAATTTACAACAAAACACAGTATATAAATTAGAAATTTTCTCCAAGTCAATACAGTTTCCAGTTCAGCTATTTGGCCTTACGTTTTATTTGAATTCCAGGCCATCCTCACTCTAGTGAGAATTATGTGTTTCTGGAAATGTGTAATTGTGAGTATGGCATTGCTTTACTGGACGTGTGTGTCAAGTAGTGTATATCTGTGTGTGAATCTTTGTGTGTCTGGCAATGTATGTCTCTCAGTTTGTTTGTTTGTTTGTTTGCGAATGCATATGTGTAGCTGAGAATGTATAGTGTAGGGAGCATATCCTCGTGTGCATGTCTGGGATTGTGGGCAGGGGACACACACATACATTTATATATTATCCACACGCACACACAATTCCTGGTGTCTCACCTTGGCCTGGTTCATACTGATTAACAGTCAGCTGATCAGGCTTGTGTTTTATTAGTCCTTGTTGCAAACATCTCTCCACTACAGATGTGCAGAAACCGGGAAGACCTGTGTAAACATAGGAGGAAAGTATGAACGATTACAGAAAAGGAAAGAAATACAGAACAAAATAACTGAGAAAGACAATTTGTGACATAAATGAAAACATCTCTGTAATTAAATTGGTGCTGAGCGAGATTTATACTATGGAATCCTTGACTGCAACTCTACAGGGCCGCCTATAAAAATGCACCCAGACCTGGGCCCCATGGCTCTGATCTTTCTTCCGGCAGGCGGAATGGGAAGCTAAACAAGCGGTCTACATAAGCCTAGAAGCCATGTATGTCCTACTTAGAATTTAAAGTTGAGCGATTGGCATGCTTGTAGTTCTGGAACTCGTTATTTCATATGTACAACTTGTATTTGGATCCACATATGTTACTGTAACACTAATTGCTGTTCTTACAATACCTGCACTTATCTATACCCTGTGTGAACTTGTTGTATTGCAAAAGCAAAATGTTTCTATAAAAACAAGTGTGGTGAAAGTAACCTCGCCACAGGTTCTTGGAAGGGCCTGCTGGCCAGCCTCTTGCCAAAAGACTATGGGCCCTTTAAAAACTTATGTGATTTATGCTTTTTTGTACTCCAGAAAGAGAGACCGACTGTAACGGAGCTCCTTGTACTCCGACTGAGTACCCTCCGTTGACGGATGCTCCTAGCGCTTCCTGAGGACTCCCAAGCACTGCAGCAGACACCACAGCCACCGCAGACTCCGCAACCGCCGTATCTTGACTGGAGTCTCGCCGTCTTCCTTCCACCCTGGATCAGCTTCTGTCCTCCAGGACTGTGTGGTGAAGACCCCTCCTCCAAGGAGAGCGTGTCAGGAACAAGCTCTTAAAAGAGCTAAGTGACTCAAGCTCAGGGGAGCATGCAGAGCATAGCAATCCCCAGTGTGATTATAACAGCTCCCTCCAATAACGAGACAAGGCTACATTTAGAGGGATCAAGAAGAACTGTCAAAACCTTTATTCCCTTGGGACCAGCCAATACAGTCACCACAATAACATTGTTGTGAAACCTCAATAAAATCACAAACAGTCAAACCATATCAAGAAACACACAGTGACTTATCACAACACAATGGCACATTTTTAAAGGGGTGGGGGGAGACAATATTTAACAGTAAATATCTCACCTGCCTGCAGAATTAGCAATATGCAAATCTACCCGAATATGCAAATGAACCAGTCTTGTAATTCAGGTAGTGCATATTGCTGTTGCTACCAACAGAGGGCACTAGACAAGCTCCATAGCCAAACCCAACTAGTTGGTAGCAAACCTCAGCAATACAAGAGAGAAGGCAATACATTTCACAGTACACACACACACTATAAACAATTACATTACACACACCCTGCACCTATAATGGGTACAGGGTGACTAAAACATAAGATAAATGAAGCAGCCTACATAAATAGTCTGTCTGAAGGTAGAATAGGGGCTTTAAAGGCAAATACATCAAAGAGTCATAGTCACAGGGGAGGAGGCTGGCAAGCAGGCCTCTCCAGTACCAAGTGGCGAAGGGCACTTCGTCACATATCTCCCCTTCGGGGGGAAGACTAACCAGGCACCTGACTTTCTGTCGGTCAGTGCCTAAGTTAGTCGATTCACCCACCGACCATAAGCAAGTGCCAGAGTAGCCCACCCACAACAAACAGTTATTAGAGCAGCCCACCCACAGCAAACAGTGACTGCACCTGGGTATTCCTCTGGGGTGATGGGGCAACACGCTGTGGGGACTTGAGGGGCAGAGGCCAGCGGCGCTCTGCCCTGATGCCAGCGCTTCTGCTGGGAGGAGGGGGGTGCAGGCCAGTCCTGTGACAAGGGGATCGGTAGGGCAGAGGCCAGCGGCGGTCTGCCCTGATGCCAGCTCTTCTGCTGGTATAGCCTGCAGGACATCAGGCTCTGGACAAGGGACAAAGGGAGGGCAGAGGCCGACTGCACTCTGCCCAGCTGCCAGCTCTTCCGCTGGGGGGCTTGGGACATAGTCCGGCTCAGTAGCCAGGGGAACGTGGGGGTCAGTGGGGGTTAACATCTCCCCTGTTAACCCTGGGGCCAAGTTAGGAGTTAGCTGGGGAGGGGAATTCGTACTTACCCCCTCCTCCTGTTGTCCCTGTGAGGGTAGTTGGGGATCTGGACAGGCTGTCCAGCATCCCTGTAGGTCGGGCACAGAGACCACGGTCCCCTCTGCGCCATCTGGGAGATTGGTGTCTGCCCTTGGTAGGGTAAGCTGCCGCTGGGGAGATAGGGTGCTGTGCTCCTCTCCCTGAAACACAGGCTGCCGCTGGAGAGGGAGACCGCCTGTCTCCACTCCCATAACATTGTCCTGCTGCTGGAGAGAGAGACCAACTGTCTCTGCTCCCTGTAGGACACACTGCTGCTGGGGAGGAAGGACGACACCTTCGGCCCCCTGGAATTCGCACTGCCGCTGGAGACTAGGTGTCCATATCCTCAACCTCCACAGTTGTCGCTCAAAGGCCATTGCCGCACTGTTCTCAGCACTCAACTGGCGCATTACTTGGTGGACCACCTCGTTCGAAAGGTCTGGGCCATAGCAGACCAACCGCCTCTTTACCTCCTCAATGTAAGCGTCGTCCTCGTAGCGACGTATCCTGTTGAGCTGCTCTTCGCAGGGCTCTATCCATCCCTGCTCCAAACTGCTGTAGTTAGGGACGCTGCATAGTGGCTAGCGTTGCCCTCAATAACCTCTCATACGATACCAGTTTCTCCGAGCGGCTTCTCCTCACACTAGGACGCCATCCCACCGCTGCCACCAATGTAACGGAGCTCCTTGTACTCCAACTGAGTACCCTCCGTTGACGGATGCTCCTAGCGCTTCCTGAGGACTCCCAAGCACTGCAGCAGACACCACAGCCACCGCAGACTCCGCAACCGCCGTATCTTGACTGGAGTCTCGCCATCTTCCTTCCACCCTGGATCAGCTTCTGTCCTCCAGGACTGTGTAGTGAAGACCCCTCCTCCAAGGAGAGCGTGTCAGGAACAAGCTCTTAAAAGAGCTAAGTGACTCAAGCTCAGGGGAGCATGCAGAGCATAGCAATCCCCAGTGTGATTATAACAGCTCCCTCCAATAACGAGACAAGGCTACATTTAGAGGGATCAAGAAGAACTGTCAAAACCTTTATTCCCTTGGGACCAGCCAATACAGTCACCACAATAACATTGTTGTGAAACCTCAATAAAATCACAAACAGTCAAACCATATCAAGAAACACACAGTGACTTATCACAACACAATGGCACATTTTTAAAGGGGTGGGGGGAGACAATATTTAACAGTAAATATCTCACCTGCCTGCAGAATTAGCAATATGCAAATCTACCCGAATATGCAAATGAACCAGTCTTGCAATTCAGGTAGTGCATATTGCTGTTGCTACCAACAGAGGGCACTAGACAAGCTCCATAGCCAAACCCACCTAGTTGGTAGCAAACCTCAGCAATACAAGAGAGAAGGCAATACATTTCACAGTACACACACACACTATAAACAATTACATTACACATACCCTGCACCTATAATGGGTACAGGGTGAATAAAACATAAGATAAATGAAGCAGCCTGCATAAATAGTCTGTCTGAAGGTAGAATAGGGGCTTTAAAGGCAAATACATCAAAGAGTCATAGTCACAGAGGAGGAGGCTGGCAAGCAGGCCTCTCCAGTACCAAGTGGCGAAGGGCACTTCGTCACACCGACCATTAGCCCTAACTCCCTGGAACTGTTTTGGGCATAGGACCATGTGCACGGTCGGTCAAAACTATGATTTCCATGGAAATCCCGAACCGATCTGGGTGATTTTTGGGGATATGTTGGTCCCCCAGATCAGTGTTATCAGGGGTTGTGGCTTTTGTCGGGTTTCCATGTGTTTTGAGGGTACCTTTGGGATATTGTAAAATTTATGTTTTCAGTGCCTGGAGATAATTGTGTTTAGTATAGTTCCTGATTCAATTATCTCATTATCTCTCAGGCACAGGGGAGGGATTATCCTATTTCGTGTGGGAGTGTCCTGGACCTGAAAACCAATGTCATCACAGTGTGTCCCCTCTCAGGTCCAGTGGGGAATGCCCCTGGAATATGTCATGTAAAATCCCTTGCATATAAGGCCAATTGTGGCTAACAATAAAGCAGTTCCTCTTCACCCTCAAAGGACCACTATAGTGGCAGGAAAACATACTCGTTTTCCTGGCACTATAGTGCCCTCAGGGTCCCCCTCCCACCGAGCTCTGGGGAGAGGAAAGGGTTAAACACTCACCTTTCCCCAGCGCTGGGCGGGGTGCTCTCCGCCTCCTCTCCTCCTCTTCGGCTGAATGCGCATGCGTGACAGGAGCTGCGCACGCATTCAGCCGTTCTCATAGGAAAGCATTCATAATGCTTTCCTATGGACGCTGGCATCTTCTCACTGTGATTTTCACAGTGAGAAGCACGCAAACGCCTCTAGCAGCTGTCAATGAGACAGCCACTTGAGGCTTTAGAGGCTGGATTAACCCATTTATAACCATAGCAGTTTCTCTGAAACTGCTATGTTTATTTAAAAAAAGGGTTAATCCTAGAGGGACCTGGCACCCAGACCACTTCATTAAGCTGAAGTGGTCTGGGTGCCTAGAGTGGTCCTTCAACATAGAGCCTTGTCTCATTTGTGTCCTTCAACATAGAGCCTTGTCTCACTCTGGGGATTGCTATAATCACTCTACTCCCTTGGATTACAACACTTGCTGCTTTACTCTCTAGACTAGGAGAGGTCTACCCACTGGAAGCTGGATCCTGGTCTTGGGTGGGTGGAGGACAACGAGACCCCAACCAAGCTGTAACGTTGGCTGTGGGGTCTACAGTGGTTATGGTGTCTGGTGGAGTGCTTGAAGGTACTCAGTGTTGCTAGGAAGCAGCGACTGGCGGAGGCAGTCAGGTGGTCCACCACAACAAGATTGTCAAAAAACATTTTAAATAAATAAATTGGTGCTGAAAAAGTTTTTGGTTTTTTTTAAAGAAATTATCATGCGGTCATAGGCACAGCACTTTTATACAGAAGCATTTTCATGTGATAAAAGCCTGAATTAGGCAAGTGGAAATTACTGTTGATGGCACCAACACCAATGAGCATATGCACAGAATTGGGTGATAATCAGGGAATTTCATGTTACACAAAATTAGTCAAACTGGAACAATCTATTTCCCAAGAAGAGAGAGAGAGGGAAAACAATTGCAAATTTAGAGAAAATCTTTAATCAGCACACACATTCATGCACACAAATCACAAAAAGGTGGAGCTCTTGATAGGGTTACAAAGAACAGATACTTATCTGACATCACTAATGTGGATACACAGTGAACTAGAAAACAAAAAAAGAAAACGTGAGTTTTACCAATAAAACCTTTACTATCGATGCTTCTAGGCAGACTATTGAATGATGATTTGAAGTCAAACTTTGTAACAGATTGCCAAATAAGAAAGTTGGGAGGTTCTACTGAGTCAAGAGCCAAGTTGGCTCTATGTCATGTGAGTGCCCTCCGTGGATGTTTTTTTACATAGGATAACAATGAACACTATTAGTATTTGCTTTTTATTTGTCTAGCTCCCTGTGTATCCATATTAGTGCTGTAAGATAAGGAACTGTTTGACAACGATTCGGCTTATTACAGTTTTGAGATTAACCCCTTAAGGACACATGACATGTGTGGCATTTCATGATTCCCTTTTATTCCAGAAGTTTGGTCCTTAAGGGGTTAAAGAATAAACTCTTGCATGGATATATCAAGCCCGCTTTGGAATGTGAGATTAAATTGTATTTGTAATGTGCCAGCTTATTCGGCAGAGGATAATTTAACAAAAAAATTAGACAATTAAAAGTTGTCACAGTGACAATAGTTTGTTACAACCAAGCAACAGGGTGGCAGAGTAGCAGAATTGGAAGGTGAGTTGCCCTCTAAGAGTGAGCGAGAGATACGTTTATAAATAATAGTTACCCTGGGAGGTCAATATCTATTTTGAAGAGATGGGATTTGAGGGACTTTTTAGTTGATTAAAGACTAGGGGACAGTCTAATGGGGGAGGCAAAGGATCAAAGCCACCCATGAGAAGGCCTGCAAGCGTGAGTTAGCAGCAGAGATACAAACCCCAGGAGAACGTCACTGGCAGATGGGTGTGACCTAGAAGGAGCGTACCTATGAACTAGTGAAGAAATGTAGCAGGGGTAGAGTTGTTTAGAGCTGTATAGGTAAGGGTTAATATTTTGAATTGAATACTAATGTGCACAGAAAGCCAAAGTAAGGGTTGACAGAGGGGTGAGGTGTGAGAATAGGGACAGGAGAGAAAAAGCAGCCTAGCAGCAGCATTCATTATTGGCTGGAGTGAGCCAGTACGATTTCTGGAGAGACCAATTAGGAGAGAATTATATATCACACATAAAATCAATGTTTATTTATGCTGCAGTATCTCACTTTATTGCATTAATTTTGGGTTAAGTGAGGTATATTTTAGGAACCTTTGCTGGTATAAGCTTTATTAAAAGGGACAATTCAGCCAGGAGCTGAGCTACAACTTTTAATACATTATGGAGAAGCAAGCATATACATAAATAAATAAACATATGTCAGGATGATACATCTCAGCGAATATTGGTCCTTCCAATGATTTCAGTGGGAGTGCTATAGTTTGCAAAGCAAGGCTGCGTGGGATGCTTACAGTTGCTAAGGCCAGTAAGGTTTTGTCATGTATAAATAGGGGCATAAATTCTCGGGATGAAAATATAATTTTGTCTCTTTATAAATCGCTGGTAAGACCACACCTTGAATATGCTGTGCAATTTTGGATACCTGTTCTAAAGAAGAATATCATGGCACTAGAAAAAGTGCAGAGACAAGCTACAAAATTGATTTTAAAAAAAGGAATGGAGCATTTTAGTTACAAAGAAAGGTTAAAAAATGTAAATCTCCCTCCACCCTAGCACATACCTAACCATGCTCTTGCAGGAGAGTCTCCCTAAGCACCTGCTGAAACTAACGTACCATATCATATTATCGGCCCAAAGATTGATAGCAAGAGCATGGAAATCCCAAAACGCTCCCTCAGTAGGCACCCTAGAGACAGAAATAGATAAACTCTCTACGTACGAACAAAGCTTCAGTAGACTGTGGCCCCCTAATAAAACTACCCAAAAAACATGGGAGACTTGGAACACATGGAGATTGGCACGCTCTGCAGGTCAGAGCGCACAGATTGTAAATCCCGCACAGGAAGGGATAAAAGATTAAAGATTAATGTGTAAAGTCTGTAGATAAATTCAGACAGAACCGAGGAAAACTATACTATGCATAAAATACTGAGTAACAATGCATTGCTATCTGTAACACCAACTAACCTTGTCTCTGAGCACATGAACTGTTGGTTGATAGCAAGAGCATGGAAATCCCAAAACGCTCCCTCAGTAGGCACCCTAGAGACAGAAATAGATAAACTCTCTACGTACGAACAAAGCTTCAGTAGACTGTGGCCCCCTAATAAAACTACCCAAAAAACATGGGAGACTTGGAACACATGGAGATTGGCACGCTCTGCAGGTCAGAGCGCACAGATTGTAAATCCCGCACAGGAAGGGATAAAAGATTAAAGATTAATGTGTAAAGTCTGTAGATAAATTCAGACAGAACCGAGGAAAACTATACTATGCATAAAATACTGAGTAACAATGCATTGCTATCTGTAACACTCAACCTAACCTTGTCTCTGAGCACATGAACTGTTGGTTATGTACATGCTGCATTATATTATATCCCCTGCCCCCCCCACCCCTTCTTTCCTTCTGTAACCCTCCCTATTCCCAGTGTTAATTTTTTCAAAAATAAAAATTGTCAAATCTCAAAAAAAAAAAATAAAAAAAAATGTAAATCTCTTTAGTCTGGAAAAACGGCGCCAAGGAAACAAGGTCACGCATTTAGGCTGGAAGAAAGGTGATTTCATCTAAGGCAAAGGAAAGGCTTTTTTACAGTAAGAACTATAAGGATATGGAATTCTTTGCTTGAAGAAATGGTTTTATCAGAGTCCATACAGATGTTTAAACAGCAATTGGATAAATACTTCCAAAAACATAACATACAGCGATATAATTTCTAATTAGTGGGGTAATAGCTGCTTGATCCAAGGATTAATCTGACTGCCATTTTGGGGTCAAGAAGGAATTTTATCCTAGTTAGTTGCAAAATTGCAAGCGCTTCAGACTGGGCTCTTTGCCTTCTTTTGGATCAACAGCAAAAACATATGTGAGGAAGGCTGAACTTGATGGACACAAGTCTCTTTTCAGCTATGTAAGTATGTAACATGATATTCCCACCTTAAACCTCCACTGACTGAGTTCAGTAGAATAACCCAACATTAAATTAAGCTTTACCTCCAGGCAAGGGCTGGTCTTTGTCAACGTTGTTGTTGTCATATCGGAACTCATAGCCATAATGCTTCACTCGCCTATGTTTTAAAGACTTCTGATCTGTGAAAAGTATTTTAAATGAAATATACTATTTAAAGTTAAATACTACTTAAGTTAAAGCGACACTGTCACCCCACTCACCAAAATTTATATTTCATAAAGATAGAATCTATAGGTAAAAAAAAAAAAAAGAAAGTACCAATTTAAAATCTAATGAGTGGGTCACAATATAAGACTTCTATATTTCAATGCAACTTTTACTGAACACTCTTTTTTGAATTGGAAGGGGGATGACAGAGCCACTTTAGTTTAATTTAGATCAATAAACATATATCAGATGACATAGAGCATCTGATTAGCGCAACTCCACATTTTGCAGCGCATGTGCCATTGTATCCCTACTGTTTTTCTATGCTTTTGATTGGATTGGATTAGATCATCAACTCTGAAAATCTCAGCCAAGGAGGTGGAGCATCCCCGCTGATACCAACACATTGAGTGATAAAGGGAACTAAAATACTTATTTTACTCCCTGCGGCTTTTAGCTGGTAACCTAAACAGCCAACAGGGCACTATAGCGTTAGAAAAACACATTTGTATTCCTAACACTATAGTGTTTCTTTAAGCAGCACTCAGTTTAGTCAAAGCATTTTAAAACATGGCTTTAAAATGTACATCTTCTGTATGGCATGCAAAGCATTACATGACTATTAATTAATGTATCATATGACTATTACTAACATATTAATATATAATTACATTGCAGTTCTTATGCCATGCTAAATACTTACTAGCAATATCAGACGTCCAATCAACTCCTTCTAACATTGCAAGTTCTTCTTCCGAGGTCACAAATTCTTCTATAATTACCAAGCCTGGAGGTAATGCGGGGGGTAAAACCTCTTTCAATTCAACTATAGGTTAAAAAAAAAAAAAAGACAAAAAGTACAAGTTTAGGGTTTCGATCACTGGTATCCAGTCTTTGTTACTGGTCTAAAGCAATTCACCATTGAATGTGATCAGTAGTGCAATCATAGAAATTGTCTAACTTGTGGCACACAAGCCTTACGTGGCTATTTTTGTGTGGCCCCAAATTGCTAAAAATATTCCACTATTTCCATTATGATACTAAAGTTATTCCACTGACCAATGGACATTGGGCTCTCCGGGTCTTCTACAAAATGGCACTATCAGCCTTAACCCTTTGTGTGCAATCCTCACTAAAGAGGAGAAAGACATTTTGGACGCACAGGTCACAGAATGTATCTTCTGTAAGGGATATCTTTCATCTTCCAGTTAGTAAGCAACACAGGAAGTTAATGTTAAAAAAATAAGAATTATTCTCTTCCTTTAAAAACAAGTATTCCTTTGAAATTCCTTCCGCTGGGTTTAGATCAAGGTCTGTATGTTTTTGGCTTTATTGTACAGGTTTAAGCCTTGTTTCGGATATTCACAGCTTTGTTAAAAATTCACAGAATGGCACACTTACTTGGGCTTACTATATACCATATGTATTGCGGCAAATGTAATTTTAAGAATTAGTTGCTCAATTTGGTACATGGAGGCTTCAATAATCAGATGTTTGGGAAATCTATCAATAGTATCCAGAAATTGACTGTTGCATGGTTAGTTTGCCTACAGTAGGAACAGTTCAAATTTAAACGCCCAGCAGTTGCAGATATACATCTCCACTATGTCATGGCTGTCCAAGCATCATGGGAGCTGCAGTTTTTCAACTGACGGGGATCTATGGTTTGGTTACCATTTACCTAAAACATTTGCATTTACTGCAATTACCTCTAAACCAAAGGTGCCCAAAAGGTAGTTCCCCAGATGTTGTAGAACTTCAACTCCCATGTTCCTTTGAATGTCTTTTGAATGACAAAGCATCATGGACGTTGTAGTTTCAAAACAATTACCTTCTGTTCACCCCCGCTCTAAAAACCTGAGATTGATAGAAGAAAGCTTTTTAGACCACCCTCTGCAATTGCTTACCTTTGTCGACAAAGCTGAAGTACAGAGTTATTTTCTGTTCCCACTCATTGGATGAGATTTCATGACCGCTCAGTGAACTGTATGCATTCACAGCCTCGTCTGTAGAAGTGTACGTGACAAAGGAATAGGGTTTGTTTGGGGGCATTACTAGAGACTCCACTTTTCCACATTGTTCCAGCACAGTGAGCAGCCGATGTCTGCCTACTCCATTCCCAAGTCCTCCATTAGCAATCACTAGACTCTGAATGGAGAAAAGGTGACACAGAATGAATGCCATAAATAACTCATACAGCTATGTTACACTTTATTGGAAGTGCTAGTGTGTGTGGAATTGTTTGTCTAGATGTCCCGTGAGAATTCTCTGTTTCCAGTTTTGACGGTTTCATTCTTCATCCCCTAAGTCTTTGTCACTATCTTTGGCGATTTAAGAAGAATATTAATATTGTGGAAAGACTAGCGATACCCCAATTACAGAAGTGAATGAATGTTCATGTTGCAAAGTGCATTCAAATATGCAATATACTTCCCTACGAATGAAATCAAACTATTTTAAAGGTATTTACGAAGAGACCCTGTTTATGTCAGTTGAGAGTTGAGTTGACAGCCAATTGACGGTGTGTATTTTCTTTGTAAAGTGATGACAATGTGGATACAGAGAATACACAATCAGAATGCATTAGTGCACATTCTCTCTATATGTGTTTTTGGAAGGAAATCCATTTTGATTGTAAGAAATTAACTTATAACAGGATACCGTCACCATATTCTTATGTACGGATGTATTTAGCCAAACACTTATAAGCATTGAGTCACCTTTGATGGATGTGAAACAGTTTCCACTCCTTCATGTTTCAACAATATATGCTTAACTTTTGCTTGTTTTTTCATGAGCTTCTTCTCCTCTTTACTGATCTTTTGTTTCACTTCATTTTTGCTGCCCATCTCATGGTGTAAACCTGAACCCTGTTGAGAGGCAGCAAAAAAAGTACAACAAGATAAACAAACGGAAATTAGCACAAAATAGTATTTTATGTTACAAACTGGCAGCACAAAAAAATATACAAGCTACCGCTGTACTTTTCCTGCCCTGATGGGACCTCTCTTCATATTCCTGTTTGTGGACTGATTTGCCAAGTTCAGGAATATCAGAAGCTTTGAGGACATGATGCACACCTTCCAGGGCAGAACCCAGCACTTACATGGTGGGATTTGGATAAAGTTCTGGACCTTGAAGCTTTTTCACACATTTTGCACTGCTATGTTGTGTTAGTCCCATTATTCTCTCCTTGTAACCTCATGTCCTCTCCATTATAACCTCATGTCCTCCACCTATAACAGGACTTCATAATATTTGATTAATGTCTGTTCTTTACCATTTTCACCTCCTGCATCCTATTATTTTGATTCAATGTCCCTGCTTCAATATCATGTTCTACAAAGTCTTTCCCTTTATCAACTATCTCTTGTGTTCAAATACACATAGTTCTTACAGTACCGAGCACCATTCTTGCAAGTAACACTGGATTGGTCATACAGTTTTGGGGGGAAATCAATAAATAAAAGTGGATAAAAATATATTTTAAAATGCAAATGTTTTCTTAATATAAATTGATCAAATAGAAGTAATTTCTCTTATGGCAATAGGTAACAGCCACTACTGCAAAATAAGAATCTGTTTGATCTGTTTAAATTTTTATTTGGCACAATTCAGAAGATTATGGCACAAAATGAAATTACAATAGGGTAGATGATTTTCTTTTGCACAAATCCATCCCTTGACTCCCACGGGGCAGTATAACTTAGGTAACCAATCAATAAAATCTTCTGATTTTCAGCCAGATCAGCAATACCGTTTTTAAGGTAATCGCAATCCAAACTTCACAGTAACGCTGAAGTAAGAAAATAATATTACTAAATCAAAACTGGGATGGACCTGAGATTTACTCAATCATAAAATGTTAAACACAACTTGAAGGTTACGGATATCTTACTCCACTGATGATGCTAATAGTGTCCACACCTGGCGGGTGTAATTAACATATTACATTTAAATATGGATATTGCAGTGTGTGACATTTATTATACTCTCAACATTCCCTTGTTAAACAGCTTGCAGATTAGTAAAAGTAACTACACTATAGAAAAAATACTTTGTATCTGCACATCATAACAATGCATCATAATGTATAATATACAGAGTACTGATGCATTGTAACCACCGTGCTAACTGGGGAACCCACCACCCCCCTATCAGACAGAGTACACAAAGTGTGACATTAGCCCATTCCAATGCACCCTAAATGTATCTTTTCCTGCCAGTGAGACAGACCCCGGGGGAATTGTAGTATTTCTCTGTCATAAAGATAGGCCCATGAACTGAAACATGTAACTGAACAGCTTTCCAGAGATCAGGTTTACGCACAGAATTAACATAATATGCAAAAATAGAAAAAAAATCATCTGCTGTAGCATGCTATTGCTTTCGTCGTCATGCCTGATGATAGAAACACTTTACGTGAATGAGCGAGACATCCCAGCTCCACAATACCAAGTGCAATAATATGACACAGAGGATTACTAGAAGTCATTACAGCAGGGTTAGAGTGAACTAGTCATTGATATGCCACAGACTTTAACTCCCACCACACTCAGCCAAAATTAAGAATCATAACCACAATATCTGGAACACAAACCCCAAGCACCTTTAACCCCTTAAGGACACATGACATGTGTGACATGTCATGATTCCCCTTTATTCCAGAAGTTAGGTCCTTAAGGAGTTTAAAGTACATACATAGGGTCTTGGAAAACCCTAAACCACAACATACATAGGGACCTGGAAATCCTAAACCACAACATACATAGGGACCTGGAAATCCTAAACCACAACATACATAGGGACCTGGAAATCCTAAGCCACAACATACATAGGGACCTGGAAATCCTAAACCACAACATACATAGGGACCTGGAAATCCTAAACCACAACATACATAGGGACCTGGAAATCCTAAACCACAACATACATAGGGACCTGGAAAACCCTAAACCACAACATACATAGGGACCTGGAAATCCTAACCCACAACATACACAGGGACCTGGAAATCCTAAACCACAACATACACAGGGACCTGGAAATCCTAAACCACAACATACATAGGGACCTGGAAATCCTAAACCACAACATACACAGGGACCTGGAAATCCTAAACCACAACATACACAGGGACCTGAAAATCCTAAACCACAACATACATAGGGACCTGGAAAACCTAAACCACAACATACACAGGGACCTGGAAATCCTAAACCACAACATACATAGGGACCTGGAAATCCTAAACCACAACATACATAGGGACCTGGAAAACCTAACCCACAACATACATAGGGACCTGGAAAACCCTAAACCACAACATACACAGAGACCTATAAATCCGAAACCACAACATACATAGGGACCTGGAAATCCTAACCCACAACATACATAGGGACCTGGAAATCCTAAACTGCAACATACATAGGGACCTGGAAAACCTAACCCACAACATACACAGGGACCTGGAAACCTAAACCACAACATACATAGGGACCTGGAAATCCTAAACCACAACATACATAGGGACCTGGAAAACCCTAAACCACAACATACATAGGGACCTGGAAATCCTAAACCACAACATACATAGGGACCTGGAAATCCTAAACCACAACATACACAGGGACCTGGAAATCCTAAACCACAACATACATAGGGACCTGGAAATCCTAAACCGCAACATACATAGGGACCTGGAAATCCTAAACCACAACATACTTAGGGACCTGGAAATCCTAAGCCACAACATACATAGGGACCTGGAAAACCTAAACCACAACATACACAGGGACCTGGAAAACCCTAAACCACAACATACACAGGGACCTGGAAAACCCTAAACCACAACAAATATAGGGACCAAGAAAATCCTAACCCACAACATACATAGGGACCTGGAAATCCTAAACTGCAACATACATAGGGACCTGGAAATCCTAAACTGCAACATACATAGGGACCTGGAAATCCTAACCCACAACACCAACAAACCCACAACATACATAGGGACCTGGAAATCCTAAACCACAACATACATAGGGACCTGGAAATCCTAAACCACAACATACATAGGGACCAAATCCTAAACCACAACATACACAGGGACCTGGAAATCCTAAACCACAACATACATAGGGACCTGGAAATCCTAAACCACAACATACATAGGGACCTGGAAAACCTAACCCACAACATACATAGGGACCTGGAAAACCATAAACCACAACATACACAGAGACCTATAAATCCGAAACCACAACATACATAGGGACCTGGAAATCCTAACCCACAACATACATAGGGACCTGGAAATCCTAAACTGCAACATACATAGGGACCTGGAAAACCTAACCCACAACATACACAGGGACCTGGAAACCTAAACCACAACATACATAGGGACCTGGAAATCCTAAACCACAACATACATAGGGACCTGGAAAACCCTAAACCACAACATACATAGGGACCTGGAAATCCTAAACCACAACATACATAGGGACCTGGAAATCCTAAACCACAACATACACAGGGACCTGGAAATCCTAAACCACAACATACATAGGGACCTGGAAATCCTAAACCGCAACATACATAGGGACCTGGAAATCCTAAACCACAACATACTTAGGGACCTGGAAATCCTAAGCCACAACATACATAGGGACCTGGAAAACCTAAACCACAACATACACAGGGACCTGGAAAACCCTAAACCACAACATACACAGGGACCTGGAAAACCCTAAACCACAACAAATATAGGGACCAAGAAAATCCTAACCCACAACATACATAGGGACCTGGAAATCCTAAACTGCAACATACATAGGGACCTGGAAATCCTAAACTGCAACATACATAGGGACCTGGAAATCCTAACCCACAACAAATATAGGGACCAAGAAAATCCAAACCCACAACATACATAGGGACCTGGAAATAACATACTAATATAAATATAATAAATGCTGCAGTTTGTTTTTAGTGCTATTTGTGACTGTAAACTGCATAAATATTTGTATTCCCATGTAGCTACATGCTATTCACTTCTCCAGCATGTAACACTCAAAGCAGTGTGATGCACTAAGCTTCATGCAAATTTCATCCATACATCATATCACCCATTGAAATTAAACAAAAACATTTAATATGACTATTTTATATCCCTGCTAAACCCTATTGCATGCAGTATTACAGAACAATGTCATGCACACAGCTAGCAGTAAGGAGGTAGACAGTGTATGAAAACATACACATAATGACACATGTTACCTTACAGCAGGCAGCCATTACTAGGAAGTGCAGCTTCGCACTACATTTCCCGTCATGCCTTGCAGTTTTGCCTACATCTCCCTACATCACTTGCGACTCAGTCTACTTCTTATTTGATTCTCTGGTTTACAACTGTATTATGTATGCTTATATGGGTTAATTAAATTATGGTGAACTTATAATATCAAAATAAATATGTTCCTGAATAATTTTCTTATTGGTAATTTAATTTCTATTCCTTGCATTACTGTGCAGAGCAAGGCTATCCTAGCTGTAAGATAAGGCCAGGGACTAATGAAAGTATTTAGAAAATGGAATGGTTCTTATTTCCCTTCACATTCTATGTTTCTATGTTTCCAACTAAAGATTGAATTAATAAAAAAAAAAAAAAAGCCTTGTTTTTCCCTGTACTATTTTAGTTTTCAAACACTAGGTGGCAGCATTTTACAAATAACTGCATTGGTGTGCTCTGAATAAAATGACTTCTTTAATATTAAATTGTTCTAAATCAGTTTTATGTTCACAATACTATTTCACTATAAGTATATATATAAAAACACATATATATATATATATTTATATTGTTTTGTTTTTTTAATTATTATTATTTTTTTTCTGAATGTTAAATTAATTCTGAGGATGGCGTTTTGTTTGCACCATTCCTATGCTCTCACAATAAATCACAAAGCTCAAAGTTCCTCTCTTGCTCTTCACTGCTTCATGACACTGTTACCTCCACACTGCCAACAGGGCACTCTAAGCACCATAACAGTGGCAACATGTGCAAGAAGTCCCCTGACCCCATTTCAAAGTAAGGAGTCAATCTGTGTTTGAATAGTTTGACACTTACCTGGGTTCCTGGGGCACTTATGCCCTCGTGGGCTTGGGTGTTCTGTGTGACGCTCCTATTCCGTATTAGCAATATTATTTTCATCCAGCTTTGACCATCATTCATTGGCTGAGAGTGTCAGCTGTCTGGTTTCACTATTTTACATAATTTAATGATAACTATTCATCGCATGTTTCAAATAACTATTACTTATATTTATTATATTTAATAATATGGCAGTGGCTGGAAATGTACAATGACCAGATACACCATTAAAACCACTGACAGGTGAATTGAATAGAAAGATAGAAACATAGAATGTGACGACAGATAAGAACCATTCGGCCCATCTAGTCTGCTCAACTTTCTAAATACTCTCGTTAGGTCCCTGGCCTTATCTTATAGCTAGGATAGCCTTATGCCTATCCCACGCATGCTTAAACTCCCTCACTGTGTTAACCTCTACCACTTCAGCTGGAAGGCAATTCCATGCATCCACTACCCTCTCAGTAAAGTAATACTTCCTGATATTAGTTTTAAACCTTTGTCCCTCTAATTTAAGACTACGTCCTCTTATTGTGGTAGTTTTTCTTCTTTTAAATATAGTCTCCTCCTTTACTGTGTTGATTCCCTTTATATATTTAAATGTTTCTATGATATCCCCTGTCTCGTCTTTCCTCCAAGCTATACATGTTAAGATCCTTTAACCTTTCCTGGTAAGTTTTATCCTGTAATCCATAAACCAGTTTAGTAGACCTTCTCTGAACTGTCTCCAAAGTATCAATATCCTTCTGGATATACGGTCTCCAGTACTGTGTACAATATTCCAAGTGAGGTCTCACCAGTGTTCTGTACAATGGCATGAGCACTTCCCTGCTGCTCTATTACATTGTCTGCCTACCTTTAAGTCATCTGAAATAATAACCCCTAAATCCCTTTTCTCAGATGCTGAGGTTAGGACTCTATCAAATATTCTGTACTCGGCCCTTGGGTTTTTACGTCCAAGATGCATTATCTTGCACTTATCCACATTAAATGTCAGTTGCCACAACTCTCACCATTTTTCTAGTTTACCTAAATCATTTGCCATTTGGCTTATTGCTCCTGGAACATCAATCCTGTTACATATCTTAGTATCATCAGCAAAAAGACATACCTTACCATCAAGACCTTCTGCAATATCACTAATAAAAATATTAAAGAGAATGGGTCCAAGTACAGACCTTGCTTCAATATACTCCATTGACTACAACCTTCTGTTGCCTGTCACTCAGCCATTGCCTTACCCATTCAACAATATTGTAATCTTAAAGATTGCAGTTTATTGATAAGCCTCCTATGTGCGACAGTGTCAAAAGCCTTACTGAAATCTAGGTATCTGTCACAAGCATATGCTATCTGGCCCCCTTGGCCCCCTTTGCCTCCCTGAAGATAATAAAGATGGGATTTAGGAGGAGGCAGACAGCAGAGGAAGGTTAAGGGGAAAACTGATAGGATTCTCTAAAAAGTGTGTTTTGGGGGATTTGTTAAAGGACTAAAGAGACGGAGAGAGTCAGATGCCCAGCAGGAGGGCATTCCATGAAAAGGGGCAGACCTGGAGAAGTCATGCAGGCGAAAGTCTGGCGTGCAGGTGCGAGAGTGGAACAGGTTGATAACTGAACAAAGAGGCTGAGCTGGGGCATATCTGCCCATGCGTGTGCATAAGTAAGTAGGGGCGAAGTTAAGGAGAGCTTTGTAAGCAAGTGTAAAACCTTTGAAGCATTTCCTGAATGAAACAAGAAGCCAGTATTGAGACTGAAAGAAGGCTGAGAGAGGAGAGTAAGATGTGTGCAGGGGGGTGGTGATGGAGAAATTCTTCTTCGCCTGTGTAGCCAAAAATCCTTGCACCTGGAGCGGGCCCTTGATGTTCTGTGATCCGGATGTCCTGCGAGTTGTCAATCCACCCTATTAGATAACATCAAAACCCCTTCACAATTAGAACCAGGTGTCTAGTGTCACAACAATGTATGTCTAATTTTAATTTAATATTATAATTGTAGAATATGCTAACGTAGTGTATTTTAATAATGACAGGAGGCGAGTATTTTGCATTAACTTTCTTTACTCCAGCAGCAAAGACAGGTCAATCAAAAAACTTTAACCAATCAAGATCAGTCAGACATCCCATATATAAATCAGGACAGCCCCCAATTGTCCCTCTTTCTTTGATGTGAGGGTAGATAATCCATTTAACAGGTACAGTAAACCAGACATGTCTGATTTACATGTCAGGTGCATGTAGGCACAGAATTCTAAGGTGCCCAATAGAATCTCCCATCTTATTTTAGGAATGAGGATGGGAATTCCACTTATTCCCATCTTGGGAAAGGGTTTGCTGAGGTATCGGAGGGTTGTGGGTAAATTTTTGTCCAGCAATAGGATAGTTTAGTGCATATGGAGTTTGAAGGGTTATTTGCAAAGTACCCACTCTCTTGTGCCTTCTGCAGCCAAGTCACCCTCCTTTGATTGATAACAAAGAAGCAGGAGCTGTTATACTATGTGTATCACTCAGTATTGTCCATGGTCCTCTTGCGAGGCATTTCCTGTGTGAGAGGCTGTTAGTGGCAGATGGGAAGTGATCCCTTCAACTTCCTGTCCAGCCTCACACATAGGCACTAGAGGAGTTGAAACATCACTGAGTTTTATATCTTCTACCATGCATAGGAGTCTCACTGGGCTACAGTGGGCACTGGCCAAGCTCCTGGCACCTATCTCCACACTTAAGCTCCAAAAAGACACATAATAATGACTGAAAAAGGTGCCCCTCGAGGACATGTGCCAGTAGGAAGGTGCCTACTCTGTCTAATGGGAAATCCGGCCCTGCCTGTGACTTCCAAACACCCCAGCAATGCCCTGCCTGCTCATTGGGGACATTGTTGTATTCGTGGGACACCACAGAACAAATATGTGTCTTATAATGATATTCACAGTAAATAAAAAAATGTCATGCTGAAAAAAATTTATTTTGTGATTTCTCACACTTATTTAGATTTTGTTCATATTAAGTTATGGTAAATTATGGTTGATATATAAATATTTGATGTCAAAAGAAAGCCCTATTTATCCTTAACAAAATGATACAGTTGTGCTCAAAAGTTTGCATACCCTAGAATAATTGGTAATATATGTGAACACATTTCTTTTATTTCTTATGGGATTCATATTGAACTGTAGGTTATAACAGAATGGCACAATAATAAAACAAATTATGGCAACAAAGAAAAACATGAAATGACCCCAGTTCAAAAGTCTGCATGCCCTCTGAGCTAAATACTGTGTATTGCCCCCTTTAGCATCAATGACAGCGTGCAGTCTTTTGTAATAATTGTCTATGAGGCCCCTAAATCTTACAGGTGGTATATCTGCCCATTCATCTTGGCAAAATGCCTCTAGGTCTTGCAAAGTCTTTGGTCGTCTTGCATGAACCACACGTTTGAGATCTCCCCAGAGTGGCTCGAAGATATTAAGGTCAGGAGACTGTGATAGCCACTTCAGAACCTTCACCTTTTTCTGCTGTAACCACTAGAGGGTCAACTTGACCTTGTGCTTAGGGTCATTGTCACGCTGGAAAGTCCAAGAGCATCCCATGCACAGCCTTCATGCAGAAGAATGCAAATTGTCTGCCAGTATTTTCTGATAACATGCTGCATTCATCTTGCCATCAATTTTCACAAGATTCCCTGTGCCTTTAGAGCTCACAACCTTCCAAAACATCAGTGAGCCACCATGCTTTACAGTGGGGATGACATTCTTTTCACTATAGGCTTGGTTGAACCCTCTCTAAACGTAGCGCACATGGTTGTGAACATAAAGCTCTATTTTGGTCTCGTCACTCCAAATTACAGTGTGCCAGAAGCTGTGAGGCGTGTCAAGGTGTTGTCGGGCATATTGTAGCCAGGCTTTTTTTGTGGCATTGGTGCAGTAAAGGCTTCTTTCTGGCAACCCGACCATGCAGGTCATTTTTGTTCAAGTATCGTCGTATTGTGCTCCTTGAAACAACCACATCGTCTTTTTCCAGAGCAGCCTGTATTTCTCCTGAGGTTACCTGTGGGTTTTTCTTTGTATCCTGTACAATTATTGTGGCAGTTGTGGCTGAAATCTTTCTTGGTCTACTTGACCTTGGCTTGGTATCAGGAGATCCCCTAATTTTCCACTTCTTAATAAGTGATTGAACAGTACTGAC